AACAAGAACTGACCACCAGCATTAAATAGGACAAGAAATATTAACGTTATTAAATGCGTAACACAGATCTGTTTACATAACAAATTAAAATATGGGCTCTGTATGGAACAGTTTTAGGAGCGTAACCAGCATAAGTACTTACGCATATATAGTGTCTGAAGATGTCTATTTAAAAAAGAAAATAATGCCTTCTGCCAGAATTTTTTGATTTTAGCGCCACAAACTACCAACGCTATAAACTCAGCCTGTAAAACAAGTTACGCTTATTAATTATTAACAGCAGACTTTCGCATATACAGACCTGGATTTTTTTTCGGTGTCAACTTGATTATTATGCAGTGATCAGAAATGAAATTCATTATCTGATAGATCTGGAAATGAAATAACGCCATTTGGTAAAAAATTGTTGCTACACAGTCGAAGTTGTGGTCAGTAAGCAATAAAACAACTGATATATGAAGAGAATTTGCGAACTTACAGCTGATTCAACGCGTGAAAATTGTAAAGATTATAAAACGAATTGGATAATTAATTGTATATATAAAATATGATTTGTCTGACGCGTATCAATTCTAAAGATTTCCTTTCGCATAAAAATCATCATTCTTGACTTCTCAATTATTTCCTTTTCAAGTGTTCAAAAAGAATTCAAAGCATTAGGAACATTTGTGTTAATATCAATTGATAAAGCACATATTGCTTGCTAATTAGACTACCTAAAATCCTGATAAATAAATTAATCATCAAAAACTGTAACCACATTTACAGAAGTTTCCAAATTGTTCATCTTTACCTATTCACCATGTAATAAGATAAAGTTTTTCAGATAAAGTTCTTTTAATTTTCTATCATTGAAGTAAGCAATTCTCAGTCTCAATTGTAAGTATAAAACTGAAAAAAAGAAAGTTGGTATGAGCAAAAAAGTGAAACAGAAACTGCTCTCTCAAGCTATCTATCTCAGTTGCGACTTTGATTTGAAGTCTGCTGAAAATAATAGCAAAATTTGACAAAAATGACAACAAACATTTAAAACTAGCAATTAATCATTTTGGCAGACCTCTCACACTTATCTCTGGTGAAAGAAGCGTGCAGCAACACAAATCTTTAAAGTAATGAGACGCCATTTCCCGGGAGAAAATTCAAATTGCAAAAGTAATATGCAATTTACATAGCATAGAGTCTCCAAGTCTTCCTTTCACTGAGCTCTAAAAAGATGTAATTGCATGGTAATCTCGTAAATGGAGACAATAAAGAAACTGAATATTGTTTATAAAAATAAATTAAAAGGTGAAATTCAACCATAGTTTTCGTAAATCAAGCAATTCAAGAGCGAGAAAGATGTTGCTTTATTTTGATCTGGTTTTGACCTCAAATACAGTACAAATATTTGTAGCTTATTCTTCATTCATTCTAAGCATTTTTTGTTAATATCTATTGTTAACAGTAATAATCGGAAAATAGAATTTATTCACTGCCGGGTAATAAATTTGGTTTGCAAATTTTGCAAATTTGAAATCTTAAAATTTAGTGCGAATAGAAGCAGTAAATATATTTACACATCAAATGGCATTTGTAATTTACGAGTCTACGAAAATAACAAAGTTTTGACCATAACTATAAATTACTAAGCCCAAAAAAGAGACAATATTGTTCATGTATTCATTATTGTTGATAGTCCGCCTTTAATACTCATCAAATCTGATGATGGAAGTTCATTCCCGAATAATTTTGCCGGGTTCTAATGTTCCTTTGAACTTTTACTTTGAAGATTTTTTGTGTATTTAGATAATTATTAAAAATTTTTCATTATTTATATGAACTGAAGTAATTATTTGATTAATGTAATTGCAGTTTAATTACGTTAATCAAATAATTACAGATTCTACATTTTACAAGACGATAATACTTATTAACGGCAAAAACAGAATAATTTCTCTAGTTACTAAGCAAGTGATAATCTTTCTTTCATATCAAGATCATGATTTTAATTTGCAACACTGTCATTGTAAAAGTCATGACTTTAGTTGGTTTTACTGCTTACTCAATGAATACATTTTCTTCTCTTCATCAGAATTCATGTTTACTTTCTTTTTATCATACAGTGAAAACGATAGATGGTGAAAATGGCAGCAAGACAAAGGAAAAATCCATCAATTTAATGGTTGGGACATTCGATGAACTCTCTTCTTCGAAGGCGGCTGTCAACAAACGGAAATAAGCAATGAATCACAACGATAATCTCCATTTTTATCCCTCGTTGTAGTGATTCTGAAAGAACGAAAACGAAACAATGAAAAAAGTTAAAAAGAATGATACGAATCGAGATGAATAGAGAGGAAGCACATACTATTGATGAAAAACTTGGAAACTACAAAATAGAATAATGAATATTGTGTTGATTTTTAATGCTATGTTAATTTGCATTCAGAATCTAAAAATTTTGGTATTTGAGAGTGACGGACAGAACCGAATCTGAGATCATAATAAAAGACAGTAAGAAAACTAATGAGATTGAAAAAGCTCCGTAAAAGATGTTAGAGAGCACTTCACTAGTGTACCTGAACCAGGAACCAGCAACATGATTACGCTCGAAGCACTCGTCCGTGACATTGAGGTTTCACAGAACAGGTGACCAGGCGAAGTTCTGAAAGCTTGAACGTTTCGGGAGGATGCCGAGGAAAGAATGGTTCCTGCAACGTTCCTGTCTGTATAGCGCGAGAAGTCCGTGTGTCCAATACCTTTGCAAGGACTGAAGAAGGAAGTGATCACAGGTCGTCTTGCTTTCAAACACGAGGACTCAGCGAAGCGTGTCAAGATACGTGACACCTACTTCGAATCTTAAATTTATCTCGACGTCTAGTATTAATGAAAGAAGCCTAGTTACGGTCTAGGGATCTATCTTTGTTTCATCCTATCTAAGGATGAAACAAAGTGGACTATCTTTTTTACTAAAAAAATAACGTCAAAAATAGGTATTATTTAAATTGCAAACTGATAATCGAGAATTAGGATCTGTACATGTTGCACCGCTCAATTTTGCTTCAACAAACTCATTTTATGATAATAATTGTACTTCTCAAGTAATTAATAAAATTTCACTTCACAGAAATGAAGTGAAAGTTTTTAAGATGTAAGAGTTAGAAATTTTTATCTTCAAACAAACATGACTGTTTGTTTTTTTGAATCCAAGCAAAATTTAATTTCAGTTCTGTGAAGTAAAATCATATCTGTTACAGTATTTTTGTAATTGGGTATAAGTGCCAATATTGAAGAGAAGAATTAATGCTATCATCTAAAATAGTTTCGCGACTTTACCACCAAGGCTTTCTAATTTAACTGTAAGTTATTCAATCCATTAGGTCGTCCATATTCTCAAATTATCAGATTGCTTTGTCAGCTCAAAAATCAACACCAGAATTTTGATCAAAAAAAAATTTGAAATCAACTTTTCAGGTAACCAGAGCTTCACTATAAATCGCTTTCAAAGGCAAATTTTTGTATGTTTTAAAAAATGCTAATTTCTAATTATAATGACAAAATTGTGAGTAGCACGAATTACGTTAAAATAAAACCTTGTAAATTAGCAAAATAAGGACATTGGTATATGCTGCTAAAGTCGTCCCTCTTATTCTATGTAGACTTCACGAGTTTGATGACTTTGTGAGATAGTTTCATAAAAGCAGATTGAGCAAATGGGACTTATAAATTACATCTGGGAAAAGTATGTTTGTGTTTAGCACAGAGTTTGATCAATCTTATAATATGCATGCCTTATTATCATATTGTTATTCACATGAAACTGACTACAAAAAACATTTTTTATACTGATTTTAACAATGTCAGGAAAGAAATTTTAGTTTCACTTCCGCTGACGTACGCTTTGAGATCAGCTATGAATCACTTCAGTGAGTTTTCCTTTTTTCATATTTCATCACCAAATCTTGCTGAAATATTCAAATTTAAACTTGAGATAATAAGGTTCGAATATTGTTATTGCATGAATATAATGATTGTAATTTAATAACTTTTTAATAAAGGGAGCACTAGTGAAAGGCTCTCATACAGCAAGCTTATACTTGTTAAAATATTGCCCTGCTCCATCAAATTTTTGTTTCATTGAGGGCAATAAGAAGAAGAAAATTTCATGCTGTGAAAATGTCACTAAAAGTCGCTTAAAATGAATGACAAATGCAAAATGTCAGTTTTCCAATCACTACGAAAAAACTTATGCTTGATTATCACTGCACATTTTCGAAAAAGTGATTAAAGTCTTTCTCACATCTTTGCAAAATGAAATCTTAAGAAATTTAAGCACGGAACAGCTCATTTTTCGAGAATTTTTGTGACATGAAGGGGCATTTTAATGAAAAACAATGTGTTGTTCTTTTTTTACTGCACTAATAAGTGCACTTCAGAAACTGCATTTGATGAAGTAGAGAATAAATTACAATTGTAGGCCATCAGTCTTGGAGAGAACCTTCTGGTTGGAAAGTAATGATTACTGTTGAATGGATTCAACCTGATCCCTAAAAAAGATTTTTATAGCATTTGATTCTTAATGAAAAATGAATTTCAATCAACTGATGGGAAAAATAAAGTGAATTTATGCTTCACTGATGATTCATTGAACTTTTTAGTACAATCTATCATTGTACATAAGTTGAAAAAGTACTGTGATTTATTCTCTGATGTAATTTAAGGCAGTTAGATTGTGCTAAATTATTTCAACGTACTTATAAATGCAATAACAACTTATTAGATAAATGAACGAAGCGATTACGGATTGGAGTGAAATTCTCGCGGCCAACAATCTGCCCTGTGAATTTCATTGCATTGATATTGTCAGGAATCATTTGTCTATTGTTGAATGCTGAAATTCGTTTGTTCGATCCAAATTCGTCACCTTCCAAAGTGTCTGAAGCAAGCTTTCCAAGTCCGAAACTATTGTCTCCCAATGTTTTCGATGCATGCATTTTTAAAGCCAAAATGCCACTTCTTGGAGCAGCTAGTGTACGCTTCTTGAATCCGAATCCATCACCTTCTAGAGCATCCAGTGCTCGTTTTTTGAATCCAAATCCATCTCCTTCAAGAGCATCTAATGCTCGTTTTTTGAATCCAAATCCATCTCCTTCAAGAGCATCCAGTGCTCGTTTTTTGAATCCAAATCCATCTCCTTCAAGAGCATCTAATGCTCGTTTTTTGAATCCAAATCCCTCTCCTTCTAACGCGTCTAACGCTCTTTTTGAAAATCCTCCAAAGCCTTCCCCTTCTATCGAGTCTAGCGCTCGTTTTGCTCTTGATCTTGATACATCTTCCAGGCCACGTACCGGATGCAAACTGACAGGGTGCGCTTGAACACCTCTATAGTAAGGAGCTTCACCCATTGCTTTTTCATCAGTAATATATTTCTTGTTTACATTTTCGTAATCATCTCTTGATCTAATATCTCGAATCTGACATTTAATATTAGTTTAGTAAGTTTTCAAATTAAATTGCTTTTCTTAATTTTACTTCTAATTAAATTCCTAAATTTTTTTAACGTTGATTTCTTTTTTTAATTTTAATAATTACATTTGCTACACCTTCTCCTCAACTTGATGCAAAGATTAAGAACCCATCATAAGACTAAAAAACGAATATAATTTTCACTTTTTCAAGGATCAAAATCTCATTTTTTTTAATATCAAAATTTAAGTTATCCAGGTGTGCTTCAAGATATGTGATAAAACACATGCACGGACGGAAATTCAGTTATATTTTCAAAATTAAAGTTATTCTCTCCAACTAATCTCATTCATTTTTTTCCGCTCTCAAACTGTTGTCTTTTTCTTATTTCACAACTTTGAATCACAACTGTGAAGCACTGCAGCTCAGTGCTTCACAGTTGTGATTCAAATCTTACAAATTAATTTACTTATTTGCTTACCAGAAATAAGAAAAGAAAGGAAGATAGTTGATTAGCAATCATAGTTGTTCGTCTTTTCGCCTGCAACTTTGAACAGATTTTTATCTGTGAGAAAGAAAGTATACAACTACAATGAACGAGAGGAGTGACACGAAAAGTTGAAAGGTCAGCATGTACTGCTATGCTGCTGACCTTTCAACTGTTGATAGAAAATGCGTTGAGAGCAGATCCTAAATTGATGTATTTTTCTAACAGAACCTTCTAGTAAATAAAATGGAATGAGTATACTGTTGATCATGAGTTTCAATAAATTTGTGTTTCTTCATAAACAATATCAAGAGATTTTCTATTAAAATTTATAAAGCCATATGTTATCAATTTCTTTCATAGCTCATTAATTCAAAACTTTGCATAGTATTGAATAAAAGTTTTAGTTTTTGTTAAACGAATTTTAGTCAAATGTTAAGTAAGTATCAAAATTCAATCAGGTGCAGGAATTTCCCTCCTAAAATAGAGAAATAAACATAACTTAGCTAATTTATTGCATCACAATATAGCAGTTATTTCGTTTGCTATACATAAAATAACAAAATTTTTAGAGCTTTGCACAACAATGCTACTCTCTTCTAAGCAAGCAAAATGGTAATTGCCAAGAATCATGGAAGTTCGAAAAACATTTCACTGCATTTCGTAGGCTTAGTAATAATCGCCATAGTCAAATCAGTCAACGAAGGTAAAATTAGTTTACCTAGGTTTTATCCGAGCTATCAGTTTTGTTGCTTAAATATATCGCTAATGAAAGTTAAAGTTACCCGAAACTTACTGAAATGGACTTGAAAGGGACAACTTTCGCATGAAATGATACTAAATAAACTTGCCAAGTCACGGAAGTAAATGCAAACAGTAAACTGACTAATTACTATGTACTTTTCCAATCTGTGAGCAAAAATCGGGATTGCAACGTGAATTGCGAATTGTTTTGTACGCTAACTCGTTATTAACATTTCGAATAGTCATTTACTTTCTAGAACAAAGCTATGCAACAAAATCTAATTTTATAAAGAAGAAAAACTCTTAACGCTTTACTGAGCATTAGACTTACTTTATAATTTTTACTAACACATTTTTTCAAACCTATGAAATTCCAGTGCTTCTCAAAAAATTTCATAAATTATAACAAATTGAAGAGAAAAACTCCCATAAAATTAGTAAAAGGATTAGAAAAAAACATTCTAATTTATTTTTGGTTTTAAATTTTAAAGAATATTTGAAGAAAGTGATATTAGTAAAAAAGCTCGCATTTGTCTTATATGTTTCATATGAATAAACATTGATTGCACTGAAGAAATTTGCAAGCAATTTATTCTTACATATTTGGAAATAAATACTTTACTATTAAATATAAGGCATCAGAATTTAACATTTCTGTCAAAAAATTGCAGTGAAATTAGAAAATGCTAAATAATGAAGAATATTTTATCATATAACCACAAAACTTGAGATAAAAGTATCAAGAAAGGAATACTTGAGCTAAGTCTACAAATAAAACTTAGTGTGTATAACTTTAAAGAACACAAATAATCAAAGCTTAGGCAGTGATCTATCATACAAAACTGCTTGAGCAGGACAATAGAATTAAGTATTTTATAAATGTTTTGTGAAGGCAAAAAGAATATCTTAATTTCGTTAAATAAAATTTCTTGAGTAGCAAGTGAGGCACAATTTGTCTAGCGATCCAATGGCAACTTCATTACTCAAAGACCTCAAACTTTTATTTATTACTTACATCATCTAAATAATAATTGAATAAAGGAGCAAATGTATTAAGTTAGATATAAATCAGATATAAATGATTAGTTCTTTAGTAATCACTTCGAAACTGCCTTGGCACGTAAAATACAAAGTCTGTTTTAATGGCCAACATTAGCAACAAAAATTGCAAAGTATTGAGGTGATTAGCATGTCAAGTTTCGCTTTCAGCATTAAACCTCGAAAAATTATTCATTAATTTATTGTAAAATTTAGTGCATAGAAATAGAACTCAACAATTTCACCATTTCGAAGAATACACAATTATTTGCGATTTAAAGAACGATTATGAAAAATTCCTAAGCCTGAATCAGCCAAACAATTTTCAGTGTTTCTGAAAAAACATGTTTAAAAAGTTTCGAACTTTAAAGGGATTTGAAAAGTGATTAACATTGAAAATACTGCATCATCCTTATGTGATTGTTGTCACAAGTCTTTTCTGTGCCAATAAAAATTGATAAAAACAATGTGCAGAAGAATTTTATATTCTCAAAAATCTAAACATAAGTGGATTTTTCATTACATCAGAAAACTTTTAACTTATTTTTAATAAATATAGTAGTGATATTGGCTTTAAGGACAGTTAAATTTTAATTTCGTTGCAAAAAAATCTAATTCTGTTATTGTTTCATTTCATTCTCTCAGTTTAATTTATGATTCTCTTTTACGGCTGAATTTAATTTATAAATTTTGAGTGCGTTCGCAGAAGCCAATTTATTTGTTGTAAAAAGCACAAACCATCAAAGTTTCTGACTACGATCAAAAATATTTTTACATTTTAAATTTCAATTAAATAATATCAATCACCTTTCACTTCAACTATTTTTCTAAATTTATTATTTGACTGGAATCATTTCAAATAGCGTTTTCTATGTCCTCAAAATAAATATTCAATATGTAACAACATATGTTCCCAATGGAATTTCACAAAAAGCAATTTTCTTTTGGTTAATATTCTAATCCTATTCTAGAAGCTACGGATCATAATTATTTACAAAATAATGAAGCACATATCCGAGTTCATCCTAATGTTTGCTTTTTCCAGTTCCAAAATTCATTGCATGGTTGATCCATGTAGAAATAAGACTTTGATTTTGCTATTTGCTTACATCAATCATGGGAGTTTTATCCCATAATTTGATTTGTTTAACAAAGATTCTATGTAATTACTTGAGCAAATTGGTTTGAAATCAAAGCTTGTAATGTCAAGTATATTTGAAAATGAGTTGCATTCAGCTTTTAAAATATTAACTGCACTCACTTCTCACAGTGACTTCCAATTCATAATTTGCATTAAAAAGGTTTGACAACTCAATCTAAATATTATCTTTATGATCAGAAAATTCCGTGTTGAATAAGTTCGTTAAAGGTACTTACTGATTACACGCAAAATGCAATCTCTTTTGTTAACTAATCTTCTCTTACTGCAAAGTGAGAACTTCAGAAACAAAAAGACTATAATAATTAACTATTACAAAACAGACGGCATAAGCATTTCAGTTATTACTGTTTTTCGACAATTTAAAAACGTTGTAACTAAAATTTTAAATATTCGAAAAATTGAGAAAAAAAGCACGTTAAATAAGTATCTACGTTTGATTTTTGAAGAAAAATGATTACATCTGATTCTGAAATGAGCAAACTTAAGATGCTAGCACTCAAAAAAGTTGTTGATCATTATAGCAAACTCTGAATTCATCATTTACTTATTTTTGCAATTATTTTTGTAATCAATTTAGCGTGAATTAGAATAAATAATTGTATTATTATGTAATATAGGTCATATTGCCTACAAAATAAAAACTGCTTACCAATTATAAGCTTAACAAATAGTGCTACGAAGTCTACAAATACTCGTAAAGAAAGCCATTGCTCAGGAATAAACACTAAAGCACATTAAGTTATCAATTAAAGTTTATCACTTTAAACTACAAACTTTTAATTTAATTGTTACTAGTAGCAAGCAAATAAATGTAGCTGCCACTTTGCAACAAAATCTTTGTATGAAATGTAAAAAGAATTGAAATACTCATTTATCGCCTAATATTTGTGAAGCTGTCAAGACTGCTCTTGATTGGTCTTAGATCAAAAGTGCTTCTTTCCAAGCATTTCATGAACATACTAAAATAATATGTGTATGTTTTTTAGTTGCGACCTTTCAAAATTAAATAAAGCGATGGTGAAAATCGTGCGGAAAATCGTATATTGTCGGAAATGCGAACAATATCAGTACTATTTTTAAATGCAAATTTGATTATCCCAATCAACAGAATGTTTTGTCTAAAAAGTTTTAATAAGTAAAAAAAGATCGGGATGAGAGTTGCATACAATTGCTTGGTACTTTCCAGAGAAGAGAATGAATGAATATAAAAAAATGAGTTTTAATTAGAAATTGAACAAGCAAGCAATGAGAACAGTCTGTTTGAAGACAAAAAATGAATTTTAAATATGCATGAAACTTAAAAATGCTTTAATTGATATTCTATATCACTTCTGTACGAAAATTATTTCCAGCGGATGATTGAATTATCAGCCAGTAGCGGAATAGTTATGATCTATTTGGCAAAAAATTATGACGTCAACTTCATGACTCTCGTGGATTAATTAATGGCTGATTATGTTTGCAGATGACTGAATAAATAGCTAATTAAGAATGCAAAAAAACGAGAA